TCGATTTCCCCCTGCCCCCATTAATCCAGGAACCGCTGGGCTCAACCACGGGCGTTAATCACCCGGACAGACCCGTTACTAGGGAAGGACACGAGCCTTCCCCACCCGGAGCTGCACACGGAGCCATTAGGAGCCCCAGCAGGGAGCGCGCCGGGCACAAATAGCCAGGGGCAGGGCCGAAATGGCAGCCAGATGCATGTGGCTATTCTAACAACACCCACTCCGCAGGGGCTGATGAGCTCGGATGCTGGAGGAGAGAACCAGACACCCGGCCCCGCTGGATTGTGACCAGGCTGTGGGGCACACCAGCCATCTGACCCATCCCACCCCCCCGAGGCTGCCAGGGGGACCTCTTCGTGCCTTGCTGTGCCAGCTGGCTTTGTCCTACCAGGGACTTCCCTGAAGCTCACACACACACAGCCAGGCCAGGCCCGGACCAGCCGTCCCTGAGTGGGACTTTGGCACTCGGATTGCAGTCTTGTGTGGCAACCCACTCGGCAGTCTCTGAGCACTAACTGATCCCACAGGATGCAAGGAATATGTGTCCCTTAGATCAGAGGGGAAACTGAGGCACGGCACAGAGCAACTTGTGCAGGAAGCCTGATTTCCCAAGCTCCAGGCCAGAGCTGTAACCTGTTCTCCACAGAAAAGCCAATCTGAGAAGACCCAGGAGATGGGGTTAACTGCTTAGCAGCCCACTGAGGGGTAGCACGGCCTAACAGACAGAGCATAGGCCCCGAGAGACTCCAGAGTTCTAACCCCGGCCCTGACTCTGATTCCCTTGTGGCCCCTGGGCGAGTCACTTAGCCACTCAGTGCCTCAGTTTCCCCATCTGTGAAACAGGGAGAATTAGCAGCCAGAGATGCCAGGAGCCCAGCCGGTGGCCAAACCAGCCAGGGCTCCTTGCCTGGCAGCTCCCTCGCTGGGAGGGGAGTTACCTGCTGTCCCAGAAGCGGATCTTCTTGTCGTGGTGGCCGCTCATGATGACGTTGTCACAGCACACCACGTCATTGCAGTAGGAGAAGACGTTGATGGTCCTATAGCCTGTGGGGGCAGCACGGCCGTGAGTGACGGGGCGAGGGAAGGGCTAGGACGAGACTGTGGCCATTGCTCACGGGGCAGTGATACGACATGGGGGGGGGGCCATGCAGGGGACCTGGGCCTGGCGCTAAGTTCCACGCACCAGACCTGAGTTCACATCCCAAACCATGAGCTCACCTGGGATGGGCTCAGCAGGCTGCAGCCTGGGGTAGGTTTGTTCTCAGCAGGGACCACTCGCTGCCACGGGCAATCTCTGCTCAGGGAGGCCGGGCCAGGCGCGGCTACTGTGATCCCGCCCTGGGCTACGTCCGCGCTCTCGCACTCTGGGGCAGGCACCGGCTCCTGCTGTGGGTTTGCACTGCGCCCAGCACAATGGGGAGAGCGCAGCGTAGTGACCAGCCCTGAGGCTGGAAAGGCCGGAGCCGAATTCCAAGAATGGGGTAGAGACCAGCAGCCAGCGTAACTGGGGGGCTGCAGACAGCAGGGAGGGGCACCTGCCAGGCTGTGGGGGAGTCCCAAGACTGGCCCAGCAGGGGTAGAGGCCGGTCTGAGGCAGATTAGCAAAGAGGGGGCCAGGGCTGGCATGACAGCGGGTGCTACAGTGGCACAGGCCCCTCTCCGACAACTCTCCAGTGTTCCCAAGAGGGTCCCCCATGTTTATCCCCCTAGTTTAGCTAAGTGCTTACTTGGCTCCCCCATGGCTACAGCTGGAGGACCAGAGTCCATCAATAGAGTGCTGCCCCCTCCTAGTGCCCGCCTCCGAGGCCAGCAGTCTCTGCAAATACGGGAGCCTAAAATGTATTGCGTCTCGAGGCCTTTACAAACATTAATTCTTGTAGCATCCCTGCGACCTTTCCTGGGGGTACCACGGTTCAAAGGTGCCTGGCTAGCACCTGCCCGTCATGTGAGGAAGTCCTCTCTGTGTCCCTCCTCAACCCACTGGCCCTGGGCAACACAAGCACTCCCCTCCTGGCCTTGCAGGGCCCAGTGTCACTCCATGGGGGTATGTCTACACTACCCCCCTAGTTCGAACTAGGGGGGTAGTGTAGACATATCCCCAGCTACCATCCCTCAACTGCCTTGATCTGTTTATCCACCCGCTCCATCTTGTCCTCATGCTGGTGTGCAAACTGCCTGGGGCGGGGACTCTCTTTGTTTCACTGCCCAGGACACTGGCACCTCGGGAGGCCATTCCCCTTGGGGAAACAGGCAGTGGCATGAGTTGCCCAGTGGGTGGCGGGACTGGGAATTGAGCCCAGGCCCCCGACTGAGTCCTGTGCCCTGCCCTCGAGACCACTCACCCTCCTGTGCCTGTTCCACCTAGACAGACAGACAGACAGACAGACAGACAGCCTTTTCCTCCCACTGGGTGGCATTTCGTCCCTTCAAGTCTCGAGCAGGTGGGTGATGGGGCGTGACTGCTCCTTTCCCCATCTTTCCGTTCCCGCTAGCCACAGAGCCGAGCCAATCCATCATGTCCACGCACAGGAGGGACGGTGTGTCCCCCTCCCCTGGCCAGGGCCTGACTCTTAGCCTGTAGGGCCTTGGGGGCAGGGCCTGTCCCATGCCTGTGTGGGCAGCACTCAGCACAACGGGGCCCAGTGGGGATCAGAGCCCTGGGGAACAACAGACCCTTAGCCGGCTTGTCCGAGAGGCCTCCAAAGGCCCGGCTCTCTCTGCAGCGGGCCCATAACAGTGAGAGACTATAAGCCCCCTAAGGCTCCACCCAGAGGCCAGAGAGAGGGGCCATAAGAACCTGCTGTAACAGACCCACAGCCAGACCTCAGCGAGGTCCCGGTGGAACCAGACACACGGTGCAGCTAGGCTAGACCTCAGCACCCTCCGCTCCAAAGCGCAAGCCTCGAGCTACAGGGTCATCTCTGGAAGCTGCCGCAGGAGCAGAGCTGGTGCCACGGCGGTGATACAGGACTGGTGTCTAGAGACTTGGCTGCTATCCCCAGTTCTGCCCCTGATCTGCCGCCTGACCCTAGGCAAGTCGCTTGCCCGGCCGGTGCCTCAGTTTCCCCCATTAGACTGTCTGCTCTTCGATGGCGGGACTGCCCCCGGCTCCATGGTTGTACAGCCCCCCCCACAGGGCCCTGCGGAGCAGTGAACACGCTTATGCCACACTGACGCCCCCTACTGGAGGGCGCTGGCGAGACCCGGCAGGGCAGTTACTTACAGGCCCCTTTGCACAGGTCCCACTCTTTGACTGTCCTGTCCCGGCTGCCTGTCACCGCTTGATGGCGCGTGGAACGGAATTTGGCTGCTGTCACTTTGTCCGCATGGCCCGTGAGCGTCTCCTAGACAACAGAACCACTGGGGATGTTACAAGGTTTGGGGTGGGGGGGTTATTTCCTTCCCAACAATTTATTTAAAAAAAAAAAAAGTCATCACAGAAAACCAAGGGAAATGCCCAACACAAGGGCCTTGTTATAGGAATCAGCCAGCTGGGGGCTTGAGATACAAGGGCCCGGTGCTGCCCCCTGCTGGAGATGCTGAGCAACTGAAATGGGAATCTCTCGGCAATTCCAAGACAGAGAGACTCGGACTTTAAGGTCTGAAGGGACCAGCATGATCTTCTAGCCCGACCTGCATACCCCCCTCTCCCGCCCGCCCCACCTCTGGCTGAGCTGCTGACATCCTCAAATCATGTCTGAAAGGCTCCGAGTGATAGAATCCACCATTGACGCTAGTTCAACCCAGCGAGGTTGCTGCAACAGAAGGCAACTCCCCCCCCCCAGGCTCTCTGCTAAACTAACATGGGGGAACATTCCTTCTTGACCCCAGATACTGGGATCAGTTAGACTGTGAGCAGGACCCACCAGCCAGACCCCTGGGAGAGAATTCCTGCATCACCCAGAGCCTCCCCTGGCTCATCACAGGGTGACCACAAGCCACTAGTGCGACGTGGCTGTGAAAGGGCTAGTGCGCTCCTAGGACGCATCAGGAGAGTTGTTTCCAGGAGAGAAAGGGAAGTGTCAACGCCACTAGACATGCTGAGCCCATCCCGGGGGCGACCCCTGGTGGCCTGCAGTCCTTGCCAGCTCCCCCGAAGCCGCTGGATCATCCTGCGGTCGGCAGGAGACATCCACCCCCCTCCCGCCCTGAAAGGCCGCGATGCAGGGGAGACCCTGCGCCACTTACTTTGGATTTGCAGTCCCTGATGTGCCACAAGTGCACGGCCTTGTTGTACGACGCCGCCAAGATCTGGTGCCCCTGTCAGGAGGAAGAGGGGGTTGACAGGAACAGGCCGGGGAGGGGCGGTGCGAGGGGGATCCTGCCCTCGGCCACGTACAGCCCCGGTTCCGCGGCACCTGGGGTCTCGGAGAGCTGCCGATGCCGGGGTGTGCGGTTAGCTGGGTCCACGCCCCACCGCAGCCTTCCACTCCCCTCTGCCAGCCACCTGGCTGCTCCAGCAGCCTCCGTGAGGTCTGAGGTGGTTTCACTAGAGACCAAGACAGACGACTCCCGCACCGAGCCCGCCCTCTGCTTTTCCTTGTGGTGCGGCGCTCGCTTTGCCCAGGGCAGGCTGGATTCAGCCCTGCCTCTGGAGCAGGCAGCCGGGACAGCCTGCAGGCTACCATCTAGCAGCCTGGATCTTCCTCCTGAACTGCCTCCCCGCATCTGGCTCATCTAGCTTGCAACCTTCTTCCCCTTGGCTCGCCCCATGATGTAGAGAGTGCCCCCTTCCTGGCCTGGCCTGTCTCCCCATTGCCCCTGCAGAGGCCTGTGCAGGGGTGTGAGCGCACCAGGGGGTTGCACGGCCTGTGTCAGGCAGGAGGTCAGACCCCCATCTGGCCTGGGAATCTACACCCCCCCCAACTATCTGTCACCAACAGGGATGGGTCCCAAAAGCATCTGACGAGCTTCACAAAGCTGGGGAGCCGGTCCCTCCCCACTCGTGGTTGGAACAGGCTGCCTTTCCCACCCCCTCCTGCCAGCAAAGCCTCCAGCACTAGCTGATGGCCAGAAGGAAACCTAGGTTTGAAGAACATGTGCTAGGCTGGACGGCCAAGAGACGGCTTCTCTCCGCGGCCATCTGCTGCCATCTAGCGTCCACAGCCTGTCTGCACAGCACCGCCACTGCATGAGGATCCCAAACAGACACAGACTCGGAGGGGTGGGGGGGACAGGTGTTCCTCTATTCAGAGCCCCTTCCTGGGCAGCTGATGCTCCCATTCCTGCCCCTCATGCTGCAGCCTCCCGCCCCCCTCCTGCCTCCTTCTCCTGCCCAGCAATTCCCAGCACATCCCAGTCTCCTTCCCATGCCCCTCGGGGGCTTCCGAGCTGCTCAGTTGGGAGCAGAGGACTCTCTAGCTCCGTGGCGCTCCTGGCCCCACAGCTGCGACCCCTGGAGAACAGCCAGGCTCTGCAGGAGCCGTTTCTCACGGGCTGCCAACGGGCCGTGGCTCTAGGAGTGGCACGGAGTCAGAACGCTAGGCTGAGCCCTGCCACCGATTGGTCTCCATGGGTTCCTCACAGCCTTCACCAGGCAGGGCAAACGCCCCTGCAGGATTCTGGCCTGCCCCCTCCACCTCTCCTCTCCCCTAAGAATGACTCCTGCCCTCATCAGGCCCCTCCTCGCAGTCAAGACCGGCTGCAGCGGGAAGAGCTGCCCGCCCGCCGCCGAGAGGCCGTGAGCAGGGGGGAAGAGAAAGGAAGAGTGAGCAGATGGGCCATCCTCGGAGCACTGGGCTGTCTCTGCTCCCTGGTGCCTCTGGCCTGGGATCCTGGCTCAGGACAGTCCCAGGCTAGCTCTGAACCAGGCCGGCCTCATGAAGCCTCACTCACCGATGGGTCGAACTCGATGCTGGTGATGGTGCCGTTAGCCCCTTCCAAGGTCTGCATGTCCTTCAGCCTCCCTGGGAGCGGGCAGACAGACAGTGCGGGTGATTAGCCCCCAGGCTGCATGGATGGGCACAGCTACTGCACAGATAACCCCGACTCCTGAATCTCTGACGTGCCACCTGCTGGGAGCACTCGGCAGCTCTGAGACCACCACCCCCCAGCTAAGAAGCTGCAGGTGCCCAAAGTCAAAGACCACCTTAAAAACAGCTCTTGACCCCCCCGTGCCTCAGTTTCCCCTCTGTGTAATAGATTCTTTACATAGCAATGTCTCTATGCAGAAAACACACCACATCTGGGTCTAAATTTCACGGCTCTGGCTCCTCCCTAGCTCTGTTAGAGAAAGGTGGGTAGGAAAGGAAGCCCTAGGAAACCGGCAGGCATACAGCCATCAGGACAGGGTCTGATTCCTCCCCCTGGAGATTTGGGCAGGGGGAGGGGGCCAAGACAAGGCTCTGGGTGCGCTGAAGGAAAGGTCTTAGAACAACTGACAGAGCAACAGCTGTGTTGGGGCTGGATTCTGCAGGGACCTGAGCCAGTCATAGCTGGGTTAAACCTGCGCACGCACATCCTACAGCGCCTGTGAGACAACTCGCGTGCTCTGTAGCCAATCCAGAGCCTCCTCTTAGCTGGACTCAATCGTTTTGCTGCGTTCTGTTTGGGAGCAGATGGGTTCCACCCCAGACACAGCTGCATCTTGGTGCAGCAAAGTGAGACTCCCAGTTAGCGCAGGGAAGCGTTGGAGAGTGTCCAGAGGGGGTGCACAACAGGAACGGAAGGTAGCTTTTGGTTGCAGTGGTTACGGAGAGGCAGCAAAGGGCTGGGTGGGCACAGGGGGCATGTCAAGGACTCGCCGGCTTTGCAGGCGTGGGGGCACAGTCACTGATGTGAGAGGATTCACCAGCCCACCCCAGGCTGTCAGCAGCTCAGCTCACCACAAGCTGCGCTGCACCGGGACAAGGCTTCACCACCCTGCTGGCTGGGCTTTGACCGAGACAGGAGGTGAGTGCTCAGCCGGCCTCCCACTTCCCACGGTCACTCTGTGAGGGGGTGTCACTCACCTCATGCGAGTGCCCCCACCCCCATTTTTAGTGCCTGTGCTTGCCTAGCTGCCCAGGCTTGACTGAGCCTCTAGAGCTCCAAGGGGGAACTACCCCAGGCTGGCACAACAGCTTCCTTTTAACTGGTTTGCTGGGCCCTGATTGGTCACATCCTTTCTGCCACTCTATCTTTCCTGGAGAACTTCTCTATGGTTTGCTGGGCAGGGTGCAGCAAAAACACAAGCCTCCAGCAGGGGGCTTCAGGGCCCGGTCTACCCTGTCCCAGGCTCCCACATTAACCCACAGCCTGCTGCAGTACACGAGGCCACGGGCCAGAAGCGGCAAACTGCCCACTGCCCTACCTCCCGCCACGTTCCAGAGTCTGATGACCTTGTCGGCCCCGCCCGTGGCCAGCACGCCGGAGCTGGGACCGAACTTGACGGCATTCACCTCAGAGGAGTGCGCCTCCTGGAGGAGAGAGAGGAGAGCCAATGAAACCAGGAGGGCGAACGTCTCCAGGGACCAGTCACCAGGACTAGTGCATGGCCTGGCTAGGGAGGAGGGCAGGGGCTCCCCACATTAACTCAGCCCTTTCCGTGGCAATGGCTGCGAGTGGGACATTGGCTCTGCCTCCAGCAGCTGACTCCAGCGAAGACAAGATCCCACACAAGAATGGATCAAACCGAAGGTCCATCTAGCCCAGTATCCTGTCTGCGGACAGTGGCCAACGCCAGATACCCCCGAGAGAAAGAACAAAACAGGGAATCATCAAGTGATCCCTCCCCTGTGACCCGTTCCCAGCTTCTGACAGAAGCTACGGCACCATTCCTACCCATCCTGGCTAATAACCATTCATGGACCTAACCTTCATGAATTTATCTAGTTCTTTTTTGAACCCTGTTATAACCTTGGACTTCACAACTTCCTCTGGCCAGGAGTTCCACTGGTTAACTGTGAGCTGTGTGAAGAAATGCTCCCTTTTGTTTTAAACCTGCTACCTATTCATTTAATTTGGTGACCCCTAGCTCTTAGGTACCCGCTCCCGTTGAGTGGGAAGGACTCAGGGGACAGGGCCCCTGCTTCTCTTGATGGAAATGCTCCCATCAGCTCCAGCTGATGACTGCAGGCTGGTTGGGATGCATGCGGCCAGTGTTTGTTAGCCAAGTCTCCAGCGTCTTCTCACACCAGCTGGCCCAGCATGTTCCATCGGCTCCCCCCAACAAACCCCAGGGTCTGCCATTAGAACCAGGGGTCACCTAATACAACGAATAGGCAGCAGGTTTAAAGCAGATATGAGGACGGATTTCATCAGGTTACACGCAGTCACCCTGCGGCGCCTGTGCCCCGGGGAATTCATGCTGCCGAAAGTATAACAGGGTTCCAAAAGAACTAGATCTGTTCCCAGAGGACAGGCCCATCAGTGGGTGGTCATAACCCTAACCCCTAACCCTCCGATGCCAGAAGCCTGGAGTGGCTGAGAGGATGGATCATCTAAAATCGCCCAGTTCTGTTCATTCCCTCTGAAGCATCTGGTACCATCTCTGTCAGAGACAGGACCCTGGGCTCCTGGGACCATCGGTCAGGCCCGTTGTTCCTATGCGCTCGGAGCTGTACACACAGTAGGAGACATTGACACTGCAATCGGACACAGCCACAGCACAGGCGGTCGGCTAGAGGAGACTACGAAGGAAAACACACTTGGGGCTGGGAAGCACCATCACTACAGCCTAAGCGGGTTTGACGTTGCTAGGCCTGGGACAGAGAAGGCTAGTACCATGTGCGGCCTAGTGAGATCGGCTGCTCTCAGCAGCCAGCGCCCAAAGGCGGGAAGGATCTCTGGGCAGTGCACGCTGCAGAACGTCTCCTTGGCAACACGGGATACCCTGAGCACGGCACACTGACCGTCTGGCCTGGGTGGGCGAGCATCACACACCTATCCTGACTTCCCATAGGCCAGCAAATTGAGGTCAAGGTACCAAACCAGAGGGTGAGAAGGGACCACCACGGGCCAGCTAGATGATTAGCAATGCCCCCGCCCCATTGACATGCTCTTCTCAGTGGCTGACAAATTCCCCCAGTTACTAAGGACCATCCGAAATCTGCCACTTTCTGCTCTGAGACTCATATCGTGAACCAGCCTCCACGAACAAAAAAAATAGAGCAAAGGGTGTGTTAAAAGTCCAGCTGCCCTAAAACCCTTCTGTGATGGATGGGTGGGGAATTCAGTAACTGAAAGCTTAACCCCAGGGAGCTAGGAAGTGTTGGCAGGGAGCCAGGAAAACCAAGAGGAAGAAAGTGTTGAGATGTGAACTGAAAGGGAATCTGCCTGCTGCTTTTCTTTGTGGGAGTTTTAAGCCAGGAGCGGGGGGAGGGAGGGAGGAGATGAATTGAATCACAGGGATACCCAGACCCAGAAAAGTAATACTCGGGTCTCGAAATGGACTGGACCTTGAAGATAGGGATATGGAAGTGATAGGGAATGTTTATTTAGACACGATCAGGTTATTTTCTTTGTTTTGTTGCTTGGTTAAACTTCTCTGTGCTAAATCCATGTGCCTCCCCCCTCCCATACACTGTAACCAAAGCTGAATCCCAAGGAAGCAATTCTCTGTGCTTTAATCTGTTTTTTCTCAGTTGCTCTGTAACACATAGCAACCAAGTCTTCTTTGCCAAGTGTATTTTTTGGTTTTGTTAATAAAATCTCCTTTTTAAGAATATTCTTGTGTCCTGGAAGGTAGCAGGAGGTGTGTGTGTGCGTGGCTAAGACTGAGAGGTCAGCTATCAGAGACTGCTGTTTGTTTTCTTTTTTTTCAACTCTCTTATGGTAAAAGAGCTTGCGGTACCGCTGTGGAAGAGGTTCCCAAGTGCTTTCTTCCTGGGTTCAAGAAGAAAGGGGGTTTTTTCACTTGGATGGGGGCAGCTACCTCCCAAAGTCAGGGACTCTGTGATCTTGGGGAGTTTTAAAAAGAGAAGGCAAAGTATTTTTAAGGTCTCTTGCGGGCCCCCACCTTCATTCTAAGTGCCAAAGTGGGGAACAGCTTTGACACCTACCAAACCCAGCTCCTCACCACCCTGCCCCCTCTGCAGGGACAAGAGAACACATGTGGCAGACAACAGTCTCGTTACCGAATGCAGGAGGGGTGGGCATTGAGGTTCCATGGTGAAGGCGGTGGTAGAAGGAGCTACACAGAACAGAAAACAACAGAGCCGTTGGGTGCTGGCGAGAAGCTGCAGCAGAGAAGAAGGCCTCTCTCCCTAGATAGGTGAACAGTCTCCCGGGGCAGAGAACACTTGGCCGCAGCTGCTGCGAACAGAACTGGAGGGTGGACCAGCTACCTGGGAGAAGGGGGGGTGCGATGGGAGATGGGGATGCGAGAGACACGGAATCCCAATGGACTCATGGGAGGAGATGGGAGATGCTGTTGGGTTTGCCCGCCCAGCACATCCCCGGCGTCTCCAAGTCCTTACCTGGACGTCGCTGACTCGGGACGGCAGGCAGGTGACGAGACAGATGGGCAGGGAGCGGTAGTGCACTTCCGATTCACTGCCGATGGAGTTCCCTCGTTTCAGCCTGAAACTAACGAGAGCAGGCTCAGGTCACCACACAAGCACACGGCCCTCTGGGAAAACAGGGTCCAATGCCAGCCCAGCCGAGCCTTGTGCCACGCCCGCAGCCCGGAGAGGGGAGGGACCCCGACTAAATCCCCGCCCCCCCGCGACACAGGACACACGACTGCAAACTCACTCCAGCAGCCCCTTGAAGACGCCCATGCACCGGGCCAGAGTCACGGATGTGGCGGAGGCAGATCTGCAGTGCAAACCAAACAGAAAAGGAGGCGACGGATGAGCAACGCCCGGCTGGGAAAGGGACCTCAGGAACCACCGCCTGTGAGCCAGTCACCCAGCTCTCCGGGCAACACCCCCTTCTCCCAGCTGGTGCAGCACATCCCAGAGGAGAACGCCGCCCGCAAGCCCGACGCGGCCGAGTGGTGTGGGGGGTGGGGAAACCCTCACCTTTCCCAGCGGGGGCACAAGCTGGGACCCACTGAAGCCAATGGGAACTCTGCCCTGGATCTTGAGGGGCCAGGAGTTTCTCTCTCCTGCCTGGTTTTCTGACACTGAAGCCAATGGGAACTCTGCCCTGCATCTCGAGGGGCCAGGAGTTTCACTCTCCTGCCCGGTTTTCTTTGGGGATCCCACGTGGGGGGCCGGACCACGCAGGAGCACGTTCCAATCACTGTCCCTCCCCTGGGCAGGCACTGGGAGTGGGGGCAGGAAAGGGGGAGCCGGGTTGTACCCACGGGGGTCTACACCTGGGGAATCAGTCTAGTCAGAAGGCCCTGATCTCTGCTCCTGCAGCGAACGCCAGCCCGGATGGTGCTGCATGTCTCATCGCACTCTCCTTCTCCCAGGTAGCTGGTAAACCCCCTCCAGTTCTGGTCCCTCCCCTGGGCAGGCACTGGGAGTGGGGGCAGGAAAGGGGGAGCCGGGTTGTACCCACGGGGGTCTACACCTGGGGAATCAGTCTAGTCAGAAGGCCCTGATCTCTGCTCCTGCAGCGAACGCCAGCCCGGATGGTGCTGCATGTCTCATCGCACTCTCCTTCTCCCAGGTAGCTGGTAAACCCCCTCCAGTTCTGTTCGCAGCAGCTGCAGCCAAATGTTCTCTGCCCCAGGAGACTGTCCACCCATCTGGGGAGGGAGGCCTTCTTCTCATGTCTGCAGGGCCTGGGGGCTGTTTGAGCCATGGCATGAGCCAGCTGCTGTTAGGGATCAGGGCGAGGGGCAGATTATCCCCCGTCGGCTGCTGTGGGTCTCACACCTTCCCCTGAACCAGCTGACACTGGCTTGGGCAGGACGGATGCTGGGGCTGGGCCAGTCCTCTGGCAGCTGTGTCTTGCCTCTCCCCTTTGGGATAACCTAGATTGAAGGGTCCTAGCACCAGGGCCTCACACTGCTCTTCTCTCTCTCCTCTTACTCACCCCATCTTGGCCATCCTGCCCATGGACCCTACCAAGGATCACGGGCCCCCAAGAGAGACCCATCGGAGCCAGAGACGGGACAGGCCCACTTGGCCACCAGCCATCGTCATCACATCATACAAGACGGAGAGCTTCAGAGGGGTAGCTGAGTTAAAGGAGCTGCGAGACTGTTGTTTTTTAAGTTTTTCCGACAAGATGAGGGTGGGAAGAGACCTCAGGAAGTCTTCTAGTCCAACCCCCTGCTCAAAGCAGGACCAGCCCCGACTAAATCAACCCTGCCAGGGCTTTCTCAACCCGGGCCTTAGAAACCTCCAGCATGGAGATTCCATCACCTCCTTCCAGGAGAATCAAAGCTGGACTTTCCGCTGCACTCGAGCAGAGCCTGCTTTTAAGTGTCGAGGAACTGGCCTTAGAAACCTCCAGCATGGAGATTCCATCACCTCCCTCCAGGAGAATCAAAGCTGGACTTTCTGCTGCACTCGAGCAGAGCCTGCTTTTAAGTGTCGAGGTGGAAAACGCACCACGGCAGACGTCCACCCTTAGCCAAAGCAGCTGGGACCCAAAAGGTTCCATTTCTAACCAGTTCACAGCCCAGCAAGAGGGAGTGTTGGACTCCTTCCCAGCTGGAGGGAATACTCCTGTGTTTTCCACACAGTTCAGTGTGTCTCTTCCGCAGGACCAGCCAAACAGCCCACCGGAGAGGACTGTGGTGCCGGAGAGGGAGGAGCTGGGCTGTTATTACTATTGACAGGGCAGCGGGCTGGAGAAAGGCCTGGTCTTTGCACTAGGGATGAATGAAGCTCTAGCGGTTTGAAGACAGAATCCAGTCTGCTTGGATGGTTTTCCATGCCCAATCTAAGCCAAACCTCTCGGGCTGGAAATCCCTAGAGAACTGACCCAGTCTGCTTGGATGGTTTTCCATGCCCAATCTAAGCCAAACCTCTCGGGTTGGAAATGCCTAGAGAACCGACTCTCCTACAAGGTTATCAACACTCTTTGTTCCCTGGCAAGGCGAGGGCTTTCTATAGCTGTCCCTGTCCCCCAGTTGTACAAAAGGGGGGAAACTGATTCAGAGTAAGGCAAAGGGACTTGACTAAGATCACAGAGCAAATCAGTGTCAGGACTAGAACGCCTGGCTCCCAGCTCTGTGATCTAACCAGCCTCCCTGCTGGGGCAATGTGCTGAGCTCTGGCCACTGCATTCTCAGAGGAGCTGCCTGAAAAACAGCAGCCCCATTTCAGAAGAAAACAAGAGTGAATTCAGCATTTGGGATCCTGCAACATGGCTCAGGTTTGACTGGGGTTTTGGGAGGTGAAGGCTCAGGCCAGTTCTTGTTTGATCACAGACTTTTCTCCCACTTCCTCTCCCGCGCTGAGCGGGGACTGTCCCTTTCGGTTTAGTCCCTTCACTGCAGGTAGGGCTGCCAGAGGGTTGAAACAAAAATACTGAAGACTCCCCCCCCACACAAAAAAACCCCACTGGGAAAAAGTTCTGTTGAAGGAAAAAAAGCAAAAAGCAAAAACAAAACAAAAATTAAAATAAAACAGCATTAAAACAGCATATCCCCTTTAAGAGAGAGCGCAGGGAGAGGAGCAGGGGAGCGGTGGAGCACAAAGGGTATGTCAGCACAGCAAAGTTATTCCGAAATAACTTTCCTAGTGTCTACAGAGCCAAACCACTATAGAGCACTTACTTTGAATTTGGTAAACCTCATTCTACAAGGAATAACGCCAAATTCGAAATAGCTATTTCGAAATAAGTGCTGTGTAGACACTTATTTCAAAATAGGGGGCCTCCAGCCTTCCCAGACACCTGGCAACCCTAACTGCAGGCTGGGGAAGAGGGAGTCTCCTCTCTCCCAAACACCCCACCGCCAGAGGGGCCCTTCCCCTCGCCCACCAGCTCACCGCTTTGGCCTTCTCCCTCCCAGACCTGCCCCACAGACACCGCTGAGCCTTACAAACCAGGCCAGGAACCTCCCTTAGATCCCCACTGCCTCAGACGCCCCTTTGGATCTCCAGGCATGGTTGAATACCCAGAGCCCATGCACAGTGAGGAAATCAATTCCCTTCACTTCCCACTAGCTAGAGCACCTAGCAGCTCGGCCATACACCAGCCACCCGTAACTCCTTGCGTGCATCTCTGGACATGGACGTTCTCTCTCTGCCACGACCCCACAGCACCCTCCTACCGGAAAGGCCTTTTCCACAGCTTCTTGCAGCCTTCCAGTTCTGCCAGCTCGCTGACGGGCACGTTCACCTCCGCTGGTTTCCCCTCATCCGCTTCCCTGTGGGGAGAACGAAGCCACGCGTCAGCCTGGGGCCCTGCCAAGAGGGCTGGTGCGGGGATTGAAAGTTTTATCCCTTTTATATTTGTGCTTTGGTTTAATGTAGCAATGTAAGGTAACATATTACCAGTTTATTAAAGTAAGCCCTTTTGTTTTAAAGTTTAGTGAGTTTAGTAAGTAGAGAAACAGAGTTTTGGTATTGTGTCTATGTTAATGAGACTGGAGGGATGTTGAAGGCTGAAGTTTTAATGGTTTGATTTACAATGCCTCTTGCCTTGCCCAATATGAGATACTGGTGTTATGCTTTTCTTTGAGAGGCCTTGTAAAAGTGTTTACATGTGAAAGTGGTATGAATGTGTCGAGATAAAGGTGCGAAGGTAGAAGGAGGGGTGAGCGTGGGTGAAAACAGACTGATCGGCGTCAGAAGAACCATCAATAACTACCAAAGCGTACCCATAGCTAAAACAGACTGATCGGCGTCAGAAGAACTATCAATAACTACCAAATCGTACCCATAGCTAAGGAGTGATCAGGTTGGCAGATTGATGGCTCTGAACTGGAGATGATTTGAACCTTTGGAGATGTTTTGGGAATGATTGACATCAACAAGTGTTGGATCATGCAAGCAAGGTAGTAACAAACTTCAACAGGCCTTTATTTAACAGAGGTGAAACCTCTTTACAAAGCTGCTGCTGCTCCCCTCTGTAGCTCTCACTCAGGCCTGGCCCATCTCCTCCCCCCTCCTTCCTGTTTCGTCCTGTGCGTCCAGATTCCCAACAGCCAGTGCTCCCAGTTCTAATAATTACAAGCAGCATCTAAAATATCACATTCCTTCCTCTCTTACGAAGCTCTCCCAATTATAAAATAAATGTTGTTGTTCTAATCACAGCAACAAATATGGAACAAAACACTAGACTGTTAGCAGAAATATGACACTGAAAACACTGTAAATATGACATAACATAGTCTCTAGTCCAGACTGGTGGTTGTCTAGGTCTGACAGACCGTCTCTCAAACCCCGGTTCCAGTGCAATGTCTTGCTGTGTCGGTGCTACAGTGAAGTCATACACTGTAGGCTGGGTGTTGGCATCATCTTCTCTTGGTGCACTGGCAGGTGCAAGATAAGAAGCATTCCATACCCGCCCATCAGAAAATCGATAGGTGTAAGGTCCTTTCTTCTCTATGATTTTAAGAGGAGATGTGAATTTATGGTCCCCTTTGTGTAAAATTCCAGGTTTTCTTACTCTAACGAAGGAACCACACTCAAACTTAGGTTCCTTAGCCCCCCGCCGTTTGTCTGTGAAAGCTTTATACTTTGCTTGCTTCTGTTCAACTGTTTTTCCTCACAGCATCCTCATTTGGTGCATCAGATCTTGTCTTTAACAATCCAGCAATGTTCAGTTTAGTATTCATCTGTTTTCTACGCAGTAACTCTGCAGGTGATCTTTGCGTTGTGGCATGTCGTGTAGCCTGTAAGCTTGCAAGAAATCAGTAGTGAAGGGTATCCAAGAGTGCCCTTCCAGTTTAGCCGTTTGCAAACTCTCTTTCAAACTTCTGTTAAACCTTTCGATTTCCCCATTGGCATGAGGGTAATACAGGGATGATCTTCTATGTAAAATGTTTCTCTCTGCTAAAAAAAGTTTCAAATTCCATGGAAGTAAATTGACTACCATTGTCTGAAACCAGTTCTTTGGGGTTACCTTCCCCGCTAAAAACTGTAGCGAGGAACTTAATTACTGTAGCAGAAGAAATTTGCGATGTAAACGCCACTTCAGGCCATTTACTGAAATAGTCTATTTAAGTGATGGCATAACGACAGTCTACTGGAGCAGTATCAAAGGGTATGTCTACACTACAAAGTTAATTCAAACTAACAGCCGTTAGTTCGAATTAACTTTGATAGGCGCTACACATACAAACCGCTAGTTCAAACTTAATTCGAACTAGTGGAGTGCTTAATTCGAACTAGGTAAACCTCATTCAACGAGGACTAACGCCTAGTTCGAATTAAGTAGTTCGAATTAAGGGCTGTGTAGCCACTTAATTCGAACTAGTGGGAGGCTAACCCTCCCTAGCTTGCCCTGGTGGCCACTCTGGGCACAACCAGGGAAACTCTTCTGCCCCCCTCCCAGCCCCAGAGCCCTTAAAGGGGCACGGTTTGGCTACAGTGCCTGTGCCAGTTGCAAGCCTGCCAGCACCCAGCCAGCCGACCCTGCACCTGGCATGACACG